TGACTGCATACTAGTAGTAACAGGAAGAATTAAACAAATTCCTGTTGAACCGGAATATAATTGTATGAAGCTAAAGAAGATAGGAATGTACATGGTAGTATAGATCTTGGGAAGAGTCATACAAATGAATGCTTAAAAACAGATGCTTATATCCCTACTGTATGATACTTATACCCCATTGTAAGAACAAATGTATAGGAATTGTATTGTATTTTCTTTCCTAGTACTGTACACTTTTTTATAAGAACACTGAGGCTGAAATTGCTTAAAAATTAAGAACAAATTGAAGCTGAGGTAAAATGGCAAATTAGGTTTTCTAATTTTTCATTTTTTTTTAAATGGAAAAACCAAAAAACTGTATTTGCACCTTGTTGTGACTTTGATACCCTTTGTATACAGTACAGTTAGATGTTTTTTCTAGGGCCTTTTTTTTCCGTGGCCTTTTTTTCAGGGGCCATTTTTTCCGGGGCCATTTTCATCTACATTGCAGTAACAGTAGTACTGTATACTACTGTACAATAATAATTTTCTATGTTTGAAAACTGTGTAAAATACAGTAAGAACAAAATAAGAATATTTTGAGCCTGAAATTGGCCAAAATATAAGAACACTGAGCCTGGGCAAAATTTTACTGGTTCTTTTTTAAAAGAAAGTTTAGTGTCTGAGGCAAGGCATAGCACAGTAGTAGGCAAGACTTTTTTTAATACCTTGTTTAGCGAATCCACCACCCACCAGTAATGATGATTTTTAATAAAATTGAAAATTTTTTTATGGTCGATTAGCACACTTGCCACCACAAAAAATTGGAAATTTCAGAAAAAATGCAAGTTCTTGTTTATTTTTACTACACCCGCCTCTGCCTTGAAATCTCCAAAAGGATGTGTATTTCTTCCGAATTATGTAAATTTTCAAAGCATTAAACCATCTATCCTCATACTACACTGTTTACATTCATTATTTTTATTCCGCCCTCCGATCTTTAAAAAATAAGTATGCGAAACAAGTATAGGAAACAAGGGTATTAATACCCTATAATTAACCTGAAAATGCATTATGGACACTAATTTCTCAAGGTATACAATAATAATGATGATTTAGAATAATTCTAAATCATAATACTGAATTTCCTGCTGTAAATCATATTACTGTATTTCCTGCTGGGCATATTCCTTGCTGCCTTTTATAAATCTTGAGTATATTAATTTATTGTGTATCTTTCTTTTATGCATTTTTAAATATGTAAACAAATTATAATTAAAAACGTATAATTGAATCTTTCATTTATTCTAGACTAACTTCTAATCCATATTTTTCCTCAAATAGATTTGTGCATGATATAGCCTAACTTGTTCTTAGCTACTGCAGTAGTATTCACAATAATTATGAGTACAATATCTTCTTTTATTCCATTCCTACTCTAGGACATTTAATAGATCATCTTGAGTACTTCATCATGGAGTGTACAACTTGCAAAAATCATTTTGCTACTTCAAATGCCATGAGGTACAGTATGTACAGTATTTTAATAAATATTTATATGTTATATTGTTATTTTATTCCTTTGATTAATCTGGGGCCTATGGTTTATGGTGTTTGCTTGTCTGCGGTTTTTAATATTTTAAAAAATAGTGTCTAAAACATGTGAAATTAAATATCTCCATCTTCTTGATCAACTTTTAATAATTAATATGAGGGTGCCTTTCATCTTGTCTTGCTCTATACATGAAAGAATTAGTTTATTTCTCCATGCTCTACAGTACAGTATGTAACTATATTAACAATTTCTACACAATTTATAATTTATTTTTTTCATTCCCAACATTTAATTGATCATCATAAGTATTCATTATGGAATGTTCTAAAAACATTCACTATTTCAAATAACATGAGGTATTTAATTCTATAAATATACAGTATAATAGTTGGTATATATTTTTTTCACAGGTACTTTATTTCAATTAATCATCTTTTTTCAATAAATTAATCAGCTATGGTGAGCCCTCACCGTATGATTTCACCTTTTGTGATCCTTTTTTTAAATGTTTCATAAACTTCTCACATTATTTGAAACTAGAGTACCTGTTTTACTCATATCAACTAAATCTCTTGAAAATAGAAATTGAAATAATTTGTATTATATGTTCATGATGTGATGTTATCATGACCAATAGGCAAGTCACATGTTTTTTTTTCTTGTCAAACAAAATTTGATAGTCTGGACAAGACTTGAGGAGCTGTCCGCACATTACAGTATCACTGATCAGTGAGAATATCTGTGATTTCCCAATAATTGGGAGTGATGATCATGATGTCATCACACTCCTGGGGAAACCCTTAGTGTTTTGACATATAAAAGTCAATAGTTTTATTTTTTTATTTTATTTCAACAATCTTTAATGAGGGTGGTCCATCCAGCCGAAGCTGATCATTAGGGACCCTCAATACACATAGTAAAACAAAACAAAAGAGCGTATTAAACTAATTAAATTACAGTAAAATAAATAACAACCTCTCAATTCAAAATTTACATAAAGAATTAATTCAAAATTAAATAAAAAACTTAATATAAAAATTAAAATAAAATTAAAATTAAAAATGTAAATGAAAGAGCAATATTAAAAAACAATAGGCAGAGGGACATTAAAACAACAAAGGGAATAAAGTAGCCTAAATAAAATAATCAAATAAATTAAGATAATATGCAAATGTATATGAGAACTATAAATCAAATCACTCTTAATTAAAGAAAATAAATCAATTTAAATTAAGTTTGAACTGAGTTAAAATGTTTCTCCTTCATGATTATAATATTTTAGTTAGTATATTATCCTAACTGTAGATGCTCACTAATGTCTGCACTTCCTGATCTTGGGTAATGCAAAGTGATTACAAGGCAACTCCCAAACTCAATACCAATTTATACAAAGACAGGGTAGATCCAGGAAAATCTGGATACTGTAGGGGCCATGTTTAAAAAGAACCATAAAAAAAAACAAGGGGGTCCAGGAAAGATATGATTCTATCTTAGATGTCCAGAAATGAGTTTTCTCAACTTCTGAGGTTTGTTATTTAATGACTTTTAAGTTCTTCAAAAGTCAAGGATTTTCCTCCACTTGAAAACGGTCAGGTGATTTTATTCTTATTAACAATAATTCTAGAGTAGGCCTATTTTGTTTGTATACACAGAAAATAAAAAAACTTAAAAAACAAACCATGGTCGAACCAAAAATAATGTTTTCAATTTTATTTAATTGAGGGGTTATTCAGGCTAGGCCTAGCGTATTTTATCTACCGAACTCTGCCTGGGTACAGTAATGTACAGTAGATTACCATGCCTTGTTGGTTTGTACAATAGGACAGGACTCAATAATTCTCTTTTTTTTTAATGTTTCATCAGAGAGGAACCAACCTACTGAACCCCCACTGGAAGCTCTCACTAAAATTTAAATTAAAAAATTACAGTAGTTGTTTTGGACTACCGGCTTCTCTCTTTTTTCTTATTTCTGGGGGAGGGTAAGGCTGGCCTGTACTGTATAGTATTTCCCCTTCCCCTTGGATCCACCCCTGTAAGGTTTCACATTTGGTCACGTTGCTTCTGTTTTTAGGCCAAATATGTTACCAGTTCTTTATCTACCGGAAGTATATATAATGGGTACCTGGTACATGTAGTTGGATATTAATGACTTGTGCAGAGGAACTAATCGTGAGTTGAATATGATAATATGATATGCACAACTAGCTACCGAGCAGCTCAAGAGGTTTCACGTATGTATTGATTTCACCTATGATTGATTCTCTTATCCAGTGACCAGGGTAGTGCAGACTTTGCTATTAATTATGAACTATGAAAGTCATACAGTACTACTGGCACACAATAAAACAGGTCGTAACAGAGTATTGAACCTTCATTCAAACCTCTCCAGTTTTATAATGGAGAATAAACCTGTATATTCTCACTAAAGCCCCTTTCCAGATACAGTAGACATTCCGCAATATTGCGGTAAGCATGCTGGCATATAACCTTTCAAACAATGTTTCCGCAATAATGCAGTTTTCTGTCTTAAATGGTCCTATAGAATGGCATAATATTGGTGGATTAAAATACAGAGGGCGAAATTTTTTGCTTACATTTTTGTCAATACGGCACCCGATTAAGCCTTATAGATGTTGTGTCAATTTACAGTACTGTAATTATAGCGTATGAAAACAAACTACAGTATACAGTCATTTTTATGAAAGGTACAGTAATGTACAATATTTGTAGAACATTATGTCATCTACAGTATTTAAATTGATCCAAGAATTGAACTTAATATCCTGGTATGTGCTGATGGTAAGTACAAAAAGCAAGAATATACTGTACAGTCCTTGCATTACGGTTCATCCAAATAAAAAGCAAACAGTCCTAAAGTAACTCTAACTAACACCAAGATAAAATACGTATCTCATGCTACAAGCAATTTAGCATGCATCCCTGCCACATCGCATTTGTGTGAATGAGCAATCTTACTGTGATAAGAATTGACTAAAGTATAAGTTTCATTAAAAATTAAAGGCCCAAGGTGTCTTTTTCAAAGGCCAGGGTGAACCCAGTACCACAGGATTAGAAGGTAAGTATCTTTAACAAAATGTCATGCCAACAGCTTGAATGAATAAATTCTCTATTTTTTAATAATTATTACGATAGGCACATTGGCAATATGCAGTTTTATTATATGTCAATTTATTGGTTAAAATGTTTTCTTTTTTAGCTGATGTAACATTTTATATTATTTTTAAACATTTTTTTTAACTACAATTTTAAGTGTTTTTGTAGTTAAAACAGATTATTCGTAATGACGTCATTGCCGCATTTATTCAAGTTCGTAAAATCGAGAATTCGTAACTGGGAGGTTCATAATTGGGAAATTTTACTTATATATAATTTCTATTTAAACTAAACACAATGACTCATGGATCAGTTAATATTTACAAAGTAAAAATGTAAGCGTTTGATTTACCATATGTTCCATACAGATACTGATCTCGCCATCACTGTAGAAAGCTCCATAGAATCCAACTACGTAAGGTGAATTACATTCATGTAATATTGTCAATTCACGGAAAATTTGTAATCTGATAGCGGGCTTTATCTCCAGGTGAATCAGCTGAAATAAAACACATATTTATTATTAGATAAATATGCATAACTTCCCATGAAATAAGTTACTATTAATGTTCATGAATGTTATTCATTTCTCATTCCTTTTTATAATTTATAAATATTCATGATTTGATCAATATTCATATGAAAAGAATGAAAATGAATACTAATATTTATGAATAAGTTTGTATTCACTTGCATTTATTTAATTTTCATGATTACAGTACAGTACATGTTCAAATAATAACTGCTCATGAATATTTTTAAAAGTTGTGTAATTTTGAATGAAAATAAAGATTGATTGACTGATTAATTGATTGATTTACTGAATTTGTATCTACATTTGTTTTACTTAAGGTACAGTATTTGTGACTACCAGATAATACAGAGAATTCAGATCAGTATTAGTAATTATACTAAATATTTAAATTTGTAGTAATTGGATAACAGATCTATTAAATATTGTAATTATTACAATATTTAAATTAGTGGATGCTGTAAATAATAAATGCTGAATATTTCTAATTAAATTGAAGTTTGTAATTTAATAATGCTTTTCTTAAATTAAAGTGGAATTAGGAAATTATAATAAATTGTCCCATGCTAAATACCAAAAAAATCATTAAAATATTTTTTGAAATTAACTTGCCCATTTTGAAGTAACATAAAAGTTATCAACTTGAACATAGAAATTAGTTAAAATATGTCTACCCATCAGTTTACAGCGAAAAATGATAGAAACACTTCCACTTCCAATCACTGGAAGTGTTTTATTAATTTTATTATAATTTTTTTGGTTTAAAAATCAGGGTACACATTTTTTTAAATTCAATAATTTTTATGCACAAGTTAATAATTTGTATGCTTTTGCAATATGAGCAAGTTTATTTCAAAATTATTTTTTATGATTTTTTTGACATTAGCAAGGGAAAATACATCTTATAGCAAGTGCCAGTTAACAATAATGTCGCTGCATGCATTTTAGCCAGGTTCCTCATTTGTATGACTCACTATATACAATCAACAAACTCCAGAGAAAGGTGTGTCATGGCAGGGTCAGCTCCTAAAGCAGAGTACCATCAAAAAACCTTTGTGGTCCATCACAAAATTATAAAAGTGGGCTTTTTTTTGTAAGCCGATGTACTCAATTACATTAATAATCATAATAGTGAATACTGTACAATTACACAGTACATTGTACTGTAAGAACAACCCTTGGAATGTATAATGGTAATGTGAAAGAGAACCAGTAGTACATATACAATATGCAAATCAACTTTAGTTAGACGTTTATATTCAAACAAACTTTATCTCAACAGAATTACTGTAAGATAAGGACTGAGGAGTGGAGTTGAACAGCTTTAGTGGTTTAAGATGCTTGCCTTCTAATCCCAGGGTCCTTGGTTCAATTCCTATGACTGAAGGACTGTTTCTCACAACTAAAAACAACTCCACTCCCTAAACCTCATAACAGATTATATTATTATACATTTATGAGGGCCACTGAATATCAGACGATCTTCTTCTAGGATATGCTAGAAGGGCAACCCCCTATTAATATTGTTTAAAAAAAGGAACATTAAAATACTGTACAGTACCATAACATGTTTATAAAGAATAAATAAATTTTGAAGACTGAATTAAATAATTTCAAAACAAAATTTAATGATAAAATGGATCAACATTCCGGGTCCACCATGGAACCATTTTCAAGATCAAATGACATTAAAAAAAGTTAAAAACAGTAAATACAGAAAATGGTTCCATGATGGATACTAAATTTTCTTTTGTAATTATATAGTACAGTAAGCATCAACAAATGATCATGGACATTAAATTTTATTTTGAAATTATATAGTAAGCATCTGCTAATTCGTATTTTAAATTAATTATATATTAGAAAAAGTATTAACTTTTAAAATCTCTGATTATTTAATTGAATAGCTTTCATCTAAAATAATAGGATACTATTCCGCTTTTTTAAACCGGATACAAATTAGTCAAAATTTTCCTAAAACTCTATTGAACCAGATAAAATTCTTTAAGAAAAAAATTTAACAAACATTGAAATGAGACCATTCCTATAGATATTGGTTGCATATACTGTACATTACAGTAGTACCCATATATCTATGCCAGGAAATTTAAAGGTGTTGAAAGTAAAAATTCTGCAAATGATTGAATGTGTTTTCTTCAATCTGTAACTTATTGAAGGTTGATAACTTTATGATTCCTTTTTATTATACCAATTTTTGAGGGGGTGGGGAGTGTGGTGGGCCAGGGGGAAGGAAGGAGGTGGCAGCATACTTTAAAATGAAAACAGAATGCATACTGTACTAGGCAGGGGTCCTAAGTTGGAAGAAGTTATTCCGAGAGATCTACAATGGCAGATCCAGAAATTTAAATGTAGAGGGGCCCAGGGAGGGACTTTCACAGATGGGAGGTCTACTGTAGACAACCTGAGCCCCACCATGGTTGGGGTTGAGGTAAGAAAATTTATGATTATGGCACCTCTACTGTAGATGGCCGGAATTTGAATAATCATTTTTTTTCTCCATTTTTTTTTTTATAAATAATTTTCAAAAATGTAGAGAGCACAGGCCAGCTACCCCCTTGAATCAACTGATCTGATTAATGAGTTTCTTTACACAAAGTGATACTCATCCAAACTGACTTATGAGTGTTCATTAATAAAGCAGGGAAAACATGCAAATATTTTTATAAATTTGCGGTAGATGGTTTATTTTCCGGGACACTCTTGCTTGCTTGTTTGAGTATGGGAGGCCGTCCCAATTTCCGGAATAATCCCGCACGCTGCGTCGACTGTGGACCCCTGGTATAGTATGTGTGTGTCAGTGACAAAATAATTTCTTGACCGCGTGTTAATTCCACACAATTTGCAGTCACATTTTTGTGACAACATACAGTAATGTCCTCTGGACGGTAAAGGGTAGACA